AGGGCTATGCTGACATTTTACAAATAGGGATAATTATTAGGACCAAAGACCTTCCTTTCCTGAGCAATTTCAACTGTAGGCACTCATTTTTATTTTTGTTTCAATTAAAACTTATAAATGATTTTTTAATATTCAATAAAGGATGCATGTGAAAGTAGATGCTGTCTTCGCTGCCCATTTGAGTGTAGTGAGTCGACAGGCGCATCAAAAGACTAAATCAGTCACCGACTAAAATTTGGTACTGTCCACTTGGCATCATCTAGCTGTAGCATCTTATGAAATAAATATCTGGAAAAGTCAACGCATCGTCACATCTACATTTTATAACTTCAGGATAATTTAAGGTGACTCAAGTAAGATGAGAGGAAGAAATGCAGAGAGTCATTTTAGTTAAAAATTCTTTGAAGTAAAATGTTGTCACATAGAGGTAGCGTCTTTCTTTCTTGTTTCAACTTTTATTTTAGACACAGCGGGTACCTGTGCATGTTCGTTACACGGCATACTGCACCCAGGTGGTGAACACAGTACCCAAGAGGTAGTTCTCCAACCCACGCCCCTCTCTAGTGTCCACGGTGTCGATTGTTCCCATGTTTATGTCCCTGTGTGCTCAATGTTTAGCTCCCACTCACAAGTGAAAACATGTGGTACAAAGTTTTCTGTCCCTGCATTAATTCATTCAGGTTTGTGGCCTCCGGCACCATCCATGTTACTGCAAATTACATGATTTTATTCTTTTTATGGCTGCGTAGTATTACACAGTGTCTGTGTACCACATTTTCTTTATCTAATCCACCGCTGATGGGCGCCTAGTTGATTCTGTGTCTCTGTTACTGTGAAGAGCGTGGTGATGAGCATACGAGTGCATGTGTCTTTCTGGCACAACGATCTATTTTCATTTGGGTAAATACTCAGTAACGGGACTGTTGGGTCTAATGGTAGCTCTATTTAATGTGCCTTGAGAAACTTTGAAGCTACTATCCAGTGGCTGAACTAATTTGCGTTTCCACCAAGAATGTATAAGTGTTCCCTTTTCTCCACGGCCTCTCCAGCATCTGCTGTTTTTGGCTTTTTAATAGTAGCCATTCAGACGGGTGTGAGAAACTGTCTCACTGTGGTTTTGATTTGCAGTTCTGTGGTGATTAGTGACGTTGAGCATTTTGTCACGATTGTTGGCCACTTGTATGTCTTCTTTTGAGAAGTGTCTGTTCATGTTCTTTACCCATTTTTAATGGGGTTTTTTTGTGGTTTGCTTGTGGATGTAGTTGTTCCTTACAGATGTCAGATATTAGGCCTTTGTCATCTGACATAGTTTGTGAATATCTTCTCCTATTCTGTGGGTTGTCTGTCTGCTCCATTGATGGTTTCTTTTGCTGTGCAGAAGCTCTTTACTTTAATTAGGTCCCACTTGTCTATTTTTGTTTTTGTTGCAATTGCTTTTGGAGACCTAGCCAAAAAAATATTTGCCAAGGTCAGTGTTGAAAAGGGTATTTCCTAGGTTTTCTTCTTAAATTTTTATAGTTTGCCATCTTACATTTACATCTTTAATCCATCTTACATTAATTTTTGTATATGGCAAAAGGTATGGGTCTAGTTTCATTCTTCTGTGAATAGCTCGGCCGTTATCCCAGTACCATTTACCCATTGCTTGCTCGCATTGGCCTTGTCAAAGATTAGATGGTTGTAGGTGTGTGGCTGTATTTCTGAGTTTTCTATTGTGTTCCACTGGTCTGTGTGTCTGTTTTTACACCAGTACCAAGCTATTTTGGTTACTGTAGCCTTATAGTGTACTTTGAAGTCAGGTAGAGTGTAACCTCTGGCTTTGTTCATTTTGCTTAGGATTGCTTTGGCTATTTGGACTCCTTTTTGATTCCGTAGAAATTTTGGAGTCATTGTTTTTCTAACTCTGTAAAGAATTACATTGGTAGTTTGATAGGAATAGAATTGAATCTGTAGATTGCTTTGGGCAGTATGGCCATTTTAACAACATTGATTCTTCCAATCCATGAATATGGGACACTTCTCCGTTTATTTGTGTCATCTCTGATTCCTTTCAGTAGTGTTTTATAGTTCTCCTTGTGGAGATCGTTCATCTCCTTGGTGAGCTGTGTTCCTGGGTATTTCCTTTTCTTTGTGGCTACTGTGAGTGGGATTATCTGCTTGATTGACGGTCAGCCTGGATGTTAGTGGTATATAGAGATGCTGGGGTAGCATTTTCTAATTGATAAGATGCTGAGCTCTCCCAGACAAACACATCGTTGATGGCAGTCGAGGCTCTTTGTGGACATTGGGCAGCCTCAGTCTCCACATCTGTGAGGTGGGCATGTTACATCTTACAGGGTGGTGGAGGTCTAGATGCAATTCTGTTGGAGGATGCTGTGAACACAGTGTAGCGAGAGTCATGGTGAGAGGAGCTTGTGACGAGAAGTCTCTGGGCATGAACGGAAGCTCCTGCCTCACCTCTGCGCCCACACTCCTGAGCATCGCCCTCACCAAAGCTGAGGGCAAGGTTGCCAGCCAGCCTAGGCCAGCTGCAGTTGTTTGTTGCATTGACTTGTGTTATTCCTTTAATTTTTTTAGGAATTGAAATTCCCTCATTTCAAAACAAAAGTATTATTTTTTTTTTTAATTTATGTGAGCAATGATTTTTTTCCCCTAAACCAGTGGCTAGCCCTCACCAGTAAAAACGAAACCCCATATTATTATTTCATTTCTCCTACAATTGTTCTACTATTTCTTAACAAAATTGTAAATGATGTAAAATCACAACCTTTAGTTCATATCCAGAGTATCACAAACTGCAAACTGATGGTTGCTCAGGGTGGCTCAGGGTGCTCACTGCACAGGGCCAGTGGGGGTGTCCTCACAACCTCTGCTGCCTGCCTCTGGTTGACTCCCTTGCAGCCCCATGGTGGTCTCTCTCAAAAGCCCTGGCGTGGGCCTTGCTCAGACCAGCAGCCACTACCCACCCCGCGCTGTGCTGCTGGGCTCCCTAGAGGAGGGGCGTTCCCAAAGGAGAGAGAAGGGAGGGGCACACTGATGGACACTCAGACGTGCTTCTCAGGGGCAGCTGTGCCCCACCAGCCGTGGGACCACTCTGGGTGGCTTTGCTCATTCAGATTAGCAAAACACAGTCATAATATCAGCAGATGACTGTTGTATTTCATGGATTTTGTGGGTGTGGATTTGAGCCTCTGGTTCATGTACGGGAATCTGGGTGTACAGCGGTCACTTGCTTGGGGAATTCTCTGTAGCTTTTGGCAGAGGCTGAGACGAAGACAGTGTGGCCAACTCCCGCCCTGGGTACTGTCCTCAGTGCTTCCTCTGCAGGGGCCTGTGCGTTACAGAATCACCAATAACACACCTCTTCCCCATGTCCTGAGAGCTTTCAGTCCCAAACCAAACCTTATCAATGATGACCGCTTCTTTTTTTCCTTTGTATCCAAATCCAGGGCAGTTTCTTAGCATTAGCTCATAATGACCGTATCAGCAATGTGAGAAAGCTTTTTGCTTCACTTAGCTTTGTTCTCTTCTTCCTCTGTGGGGAGGAGTCCCTGGGGAAGCCTGGTTCCAGGTTCAGAGCTGCTGCTGATGGCACGGAAGACACCGCGGGAGCCATGACTGCCTGCGAGGTTTCCCTTTCCTTGTAGCAGCAGATAAAACCACAGTTTCCGTTGGAATTAGGCAGCCTGGAGCTTTGCCGATTAGGAGTAGGGCAGCCCTAAGCACCAGGAGAACCCGGGCTGGAATGTCTCTAGCCTATCACCAAGTTCTTCCAGCTGCACTCATGCTGCTCCCAGGGAAGCAGGCAGGAATGTCTTGGGGAAGAAGTTGCTTCCTAAAGGGAGGGACTCACTGACAGAGGGATTTAGGACATGAGAGAGACCAGGTCCACCCCTGAGTAACTCTTCACTCTGCTGGATTCCAAGTGAAATGTCTGGCCATGCACAAATGATGTCCTGTGACATTAACTGGCAGGGATAACAATTAATAAAGAAGGACCCATCAGATAAATCCTGGACTGAAACATTTTCATGTATAAAGGAGATTTTTAACAGCTCTAAGAAGTAACCCTTGCCCCTCAGTGCCGGCTTGGCTGTTAGTGAGTGTGGTGGCTCAGAAAGGATTACCGGGCAGTGGGAATCGTGTCAGTGAGGGTCAGTGCAGGGAACAGAGGGGCCGTGGCTATGAAAGGGGCAGCTGCACACGTGCCCCACATGTCTGCCCGCCACCGAGTGGCCACTCAGGTGTTCCGACATTTATCCTGAGCGTATTCTCTACGTGCATTTCCCCCTTTCACTCCCATGGCCGGTATCAGCATTCTAGAAAAAAAGAATGTTGGACTCACCCTGTCTGGTCTGCAGGCCCAGCCAGAAATCCACTTCCCAAAGTACGTGGTCCCCACAGGCCCAGCAGGTGGCCCCCAGGTCCCCTTGAATCCTGGTCACCTGCACAGAGGACCCGGGCCCCAGGAGGCTGCCACAGCCCCTCTGGCTCAAAGGAACAGACCACCTCTTGACAGATGAGAGACTGGATCCAGGTCGGGTCACCAAAAGTGCTCGTGAGCCCTCATGTGCGGGGGAGGAGCCCCACCCACTCTTAGGGCCTCCACAGGGGTTTGGGCTGGAATTCCCAGTCACTTGCCTGCACCCTGTAGTTCCTGAAAGCTAGCCAGCCCTGTGTCCGTCTTTCCAGGGACCAGGTAACTGTCTGTGCTGGGTGCGAGGTGCAGCCTTTCCAACAGGTGATGAATGCTCCTCCAGGGCAAAAAAAAAAAAATAAGAAAAAGGGGAAAAAGTAGAAAAAAAGGAAAGGAGCCAGAGGGTTTTGTTTTGTTTTCGTTTGCCTGTTGTTTGTTTTCTTTACACCAAAGCCCCGGCACCCTGAGGGCCGTCCCACGCGGCTGTGTGTGGCTAAGGCCGGGGCGGGCAGGCCCTGCCATGTGCTGTCTGCCGTGTGCCCTGCGGCCGGGGCCTGAGTCATCCCTGTCCCTGTCTCCCCAGCGAAGCGGTACTGCAAGGACCCCAGCCCCAGCAGCAGCAGCACCAGCAGCTACGCGCCCAGCAGCAGCAGCAACCTGAGCTGCGGCGGGGGCAGCAGCGCCAGCAGCACCTGCAGCAAGAGCAGCTTCGACTACACGCACGACATGGAGGCGGCCCACATGGCGGCCACCGCCATCCTCAACCTGTCCACGCGCTGCCGCGAGATGCCGCAGAACCTGAGCACCAAGCCGCAGGACCTGTGCGCCACGCGGGTACACGCGCCTGGGCAGGTGGGGCCCCTGGCGGGTGGGGGAGGCGGGCCGCGGGCCCAGCTGCCGAGACACACGGCGCTTTCAGGCAGCTTTATGGTGCCAACGCCCTGATCTCCTAAACCGTTCCTGCCACTGTGAACAATCAGTGCAGCTCCCCTTAAAGCAGCCTGAACAGCACCGTTGTCCAAAGCGCATCCATCTTCTCCATCAGAGGCAAGGGTCAGATCTTGTAAATTAATGTGCATCAATGGATCCTTCTCTCCAGGATCCAGAAGCATTTCTGTAAACAAAGAACAGCACGTGGTCCTCCTGTGGTCTCCAGTGACCACACAGAGGATGCACAACGCAGCGCGGACCTCCCTTGAACTTTGACAGGAAGCTCTGCTAGCACCGTTGCCAAGTGAAATGCAGGCATCTGCCTGTGGATTCCTGGGTAGCAGGGAAACAAAGGAAGTAAAAATCAGGCTTCACACCAAGGGATCAGCCGTGTATTTACAGCCAGCACTCGTTAGTTCCACATTTGCATGGGTGCTGTAGTGCTATGAAAGGCATAGGAAGAGTGTCTATTTATAATTTTCTTATCAATTGAACCAGTGCTTCTGCTGGGCGGGAGAGAGAGCCTTTAGGATGCAGCACAGACCTGGGAGAGCCGCCTCGCCGAGGCCACTAGGCGGCCGGGGAGAGCCGGGCGGTGCAGGGAGCGGTCTGTGTTCTCAGAGACGCTGAGCAGCGGACACGTTCATCTCCTCTGCTGATAAACAAAGGGCTCTGCACTGTGCAGCGCTGCCTGGCCATGCACCTGAGTGCACAGCGCTGACAGTGGTTCTTGTAAATACTTGTAGTTGGTATGAATGAAGAAAGGTCAGTAATCTTACGTTCTGCAAATGTTTTTTCTTCTATCAGTATATTTAGTCCTAGATATTGGAGAAGCGTCAGGGGCCTGCAGTTTTCATGGTGACCAAGGTTGCAAAAATGCAAGGTTAGCATGGAAGAGATTCTGTGGCAACCACAAAAAAAAAAAAAAAAAGCAGAGACCCTTTCCAAATTTTGTTGCACTTTCTTAAAATTAAACTAAGACTGAGAGAATAAATCCAACATTCTGAAACTTAAATTAATATCAGAACTTCAAATCAGAGTGCACTTTGACAAAGAGAGTTCAGGCAGAATGATACTGTATAATTTATCAAGGTAACAGCTCCAGGGATGGTGGTCTCATTCCAAGCATCTTCCTTCTACTGTTGCGTTGAGAGGAGAGAGCTGCTAGACCTTTGAGGAGGCAGCAGCTTTCAGACCAGCTCTGAAATCAAATTTTGCTCAAAAGAGTGTCACTCTTTGGGGGAAAACATGCAGGATTGTTAGGGGTATTTTGATTTTTTTTTTTTTTTAAACTTTCTGTCCACGTGTCCCTTCTTCTCACTTTCTCCCTGAGAGGCAAGTGCTGCAGAATTCTTGATGCATTTCAAAGCATCCTTTAAAAAATCCAAAAAGCCTCACCCTGGACCTCGTTGTTGTTGTTGTTGTTGTTGTTGTTGAAGCCAGTAGACTAAATTGCAGGTTTGCTGAAATTTAGAGGCGATCAGATGGTAATCACTGTAGTAAAGGTATTTTTAGCTGCAACTGCAGATGTCCTTTCTTAAAATGAAAAATTATTTTCATCATAAAAGTTCTTATTACAGCCAGGCCCAGTGGCTCACACCTGTAATCCCAGCACTTTGGTAGGCTGAGGCGGCCGGATCACTTGAGGTCAGGAGTTTGAGACCAGCCTGGCCAACATATAGTGAAACCCCACCTCTACTAAAAAATACAAAAATTAACTGGGCATGGTGGCGCAAACCTGTAGTCCCAGCTACTTGGGAAACTGAGACAGGAGAATTGCTTGAACCTGGGAGGTGAAGGTTGCAGTGAGCCCAGGCCGTGCCACTGCACTCCAGCCTGGGTAACAGAGCAAGACTCTGTCCCTCAAAAAAAAAAATTATATTACAAGGTAAATTTTAGTTTCTTCTCTTTCTTTCCTTCACCCTTCTAATGCTTTTGTTATCCTACTCCCTAATTCTTGAACTATTAGCATCAATAAAACTAAAAGAGAATTTTTAAGCTGATATATCTGTGTGTTTATACACACACATACATACATACATGCACATACATGTATATACACACATGCATACACGCAAAATTTTTATCTCTTAGGTATTTGTAACTGTAATAAAATTAAAACTAAACACTTTGTAATTTTATTCTGAACAAACTCTAAATCAGAGATATAATAGGACAACAAGGAAGGAGAGAGAGAGGATAGACAGTAGATAAATAGGGAAATGGAGGGAGGGAGGGAGGGTGGGAGCGGTGCCTGGATTCTCCAACCAATTTTGCAACTAAGCATGGGATAGCAGGAATGTACCAAAAGACCAGGACTGTTCACCTTGGGAGTTCAGGCCAAGGAAACAGCAGTGAGGAATTCCGTGTTTGAACGCTCCCCTGGCTGATGGCAAGACTGCAGTCTGGGAGGAAGGACCCGTGGTGTTACAAGGTGCCAGGCCAAGCACAGTCACCATGTCTTTCTACCAACAGAACCCTGACATGGAGGTGGATGAGAACGGGACCCTGGACCTCAGCATGAACAAGCAGAGGCCGCGGGACAGCTGCTGCCCCATCCTGACCCCCCTGGAGCCCATGTCCCCCCAGCAGCAGGCAGTGATGAACAACCGGTGTTTCCAGCTGGGCGAGGGCGACTGCTGGGACTTGCCCGTAGACTACACCAAAATGAAACCCCGGAGGATAGACGAGGACGAGTCCAAAGACATTACTGTATGTCCTTTTCATTGAGCCTGTGTTGACTGCCAGACTTTAAAATGGGGCCCCAGCTGAAACAAGTGCCATTTGCACATACCTCATGAGAAAATATATTTTCTCTTTAAATATGACCTTTAACTGAGGAGACTTAGAAAACAGTTTTTGTTGACCCAGAAGAGATTTGTGACTAACACTGATTAGAGTGAAACTATTGACTCTTGTAAATGATAAAGTTTATTTTCTAACAAATATGTTTTGTTACAAATGATTACTTTAAGAAAACATATAAATAGCATGTGATTCATTTTTCTGGGTGTCCTGTTGGAACAATACTGGATTTTCCTTGCTGGTAGAGAATTTTAATAGGAGTCTTAGATACTAAAATGGTTAACTGTGTGCTGTTAATTAACTAGCTCTTCAAAACTAAGGACAGTGTCCCTTCTCTAAGAAACCTAAAGTATTCAAAAGAGTTTACTCTAGCCTTGAATAAATTATTCTAGTACCATCACCTAAATCTTTGTTTATGACTATATTACTAAAACATCTATGTCAAGAACATATTTTTGAAGTAGCTACAGTGTTCAAATTCAGGTTATTAAAATAGATATAATGCCCTTTAGGCTTTGAAAAGAAATAAAGAAAAATGTTTTCTTTATGTACTGACTTAAAAGTCTTTGATTCTGAGAACTATGACATCCTCTTTATTCACTGAAAAATGAAATTTATTTTTAGTACAATGGAGAGACCACCATCAAAGCACTAGTGTCTTACAGAAACAAGGAAATAGAAAAAAAAAAAAAAAGAAAGAAACATTAGCCCCATGTAGAAATTGGCAGAGAGGGCACCTGCTTATAAGCCTGTTATCTGCATTCTTCAAATTGATTTCAGTATCCAGGCGTTGTGAAAAGAACCAAATCAGAGTGGCAAGCTAAATTTCTAAGTATTTTTTTCTCCTGCAGTGTTGAATCATTACTACCAAATAAGGCATATGGTGGTTGAATCTCCAAATTTATTTTAGTTGAAAGTAAGCCCTCATAAAATGACAGAAAGTGTTTTCATCCTGGATCGTCATGGAAGACAAACCTTCCCGTGTAGCTAGACTTAGGAAATGTGTCTGCTGAGCATCGCCACCTGTAGAAACATCCACGTTACTGCAGGTGAACGCACAACTGAAAAGGAAATTTACAGTTACTTTCCTCTAAATTGGTCTCCATTACCCCGAATCTTAAAGCTGGTGCTTGCAAAATCCTGACCAATGGTGGGGGAAGCTTAGCCCTAACACACTGTAGTTCCAGTGTTGAATCTTGCAGGCGAGTGTTGGATAAAGCAGCCCACCCACAGGTGTGTGCTGAATGCTGAATGAGGAAGACCAAGTTAAACGTAGTCTCTGGCTGCCGGACTGTGTGTGTGTCCATGTGGTGAGCACGGCCAGGTGAATGTTGAATAAGGGCCCTGACCACCGACAGGTGACCATCATTCTAGTTTAGAGCAGTGGAAGAAAAGCTCAATATGCATTTTCAGAAGGGGCATTATCAGGACAAAGAGGATCTTAAAGGTACAGCAGAAAGAGGTGTAAGATCAGAGGCCACCCCAGAGCCACGAACCGCCTCCCTCAGTCTGTGCGCCGTGTGATCATCCGTGTGGCTCTGAAGCTGTGTTTTGCCCACAGCCAGAAGACTTGGACCCATTCCAGGAGGCTCTAGAAGAAAGACGGTATCCCGGGGAGGTGACCATCCCAAGTCCCAAACCCAAGTACCCTCAGTGCAAGGAGAGCAAAAAGGATTTAATAACGTAAGCATGCTGTGAGGTGAAATTATGAATCTTCTTAATCTTCCCATTCTTTGGCTGATTTTTAAAAACCGGATCTGTATCTGCCTTGCCGTTTGAGCATGCGACATTCGCAGCGTACAAATGTTTCCGATTGCCGGGTCAGTAGAGTGAGCAGCTCACCGTGCACTTGCCTGTTCCCAGTGACGCTCTGTTGGACGGGGGCGTCATTTTCATTTAACCCGTGCATTTTGCCGCTTTTCTTCAGGGTGCTTAAATCCCCTTGCAGACATTGCAGCTAAACTGGAAACAATGAAACTTTTTTAAAAGTTTTTTTTTTAAAACATACTTACTATTTTGGCTGTTTTTGTTTTTGTTTGGTGGCAGATGTCCAACTCCAGGGTGTGATGGGAGTGGTCATGTGACTGGTAATTACGCCTCACACAGAAGGTGTGACTTCATTTTTCTCATGGTGGATTCTGTCTTTTCAATTTATTGTTTTCAGCTTACCTCAACAATGCTGTCAAAGTAAAAATGTTGAATTCTGTGTCAACCCTTTAAGTGCTATATGTTGACCTTCAAAAGCATGCCAATTTATGTGTTGTATAATGTCTTTTCTCTTCAAATAAACAACCTAAATTTGCAAAATTCTTCTTAAGCATTGAAGCCAAAGAGCACAAATGTTTTATCTTATTTTTTAAACAATTTCTTATTAACAGAAACATTTTCTTAAATTTATATTCGAACCAATTCAGAATTAATTATGCAAAAAAAAATTCAATATACAGCACTTGCCCATTGCTTTTCTGCATTAAACTCTTTAATTTTGGTTTTTATGTTGTGTTTGTTCGGGAGTTATGCGCTTCGCGGTTGACTGACCTGCCTGTCCCGGCCTGTCTTACAGTCTATCTGGCTGCCCCCTGGCGGACAAAAGCATTCGAAGTATGCTGGCCACCAGCTCCCAAGAACTCAAGTAAGATTTAATGACAATAATTCTCTTTTAAAAATCCATGCACTCAGTAGTTCACAAAAAAAAATGATGTGTCATTTGCAAAGAAAAATGTCTGTTAAAAAACATGGCCTGTGCACCCCAGTGCCTTGATATAGAAACGTGATTGAGTCCTCGGAATTTCAGCCACTTTTCCACACAACCCATTCTGCCTTTTCCCCTGACATACCTCCAGCTTGTTCATGTCATATCCTTCCTATCTGGAATTTCCTAAAGCATGAGTGTTTTCTCCAGATATGCATGCATATGGAAGGGAAATTTTACAGTTACTCAAATTTTTAGAAAATGACTAAATAATCAAAATTTAATTTTTAAAATAAATTCATAGGAGTATTTACAATATGGATACTTAAGTAGCACTCATGACAAAATCTACCATCATAATAGCTATTTTCTTAAATACACCGTGGTCTTAGTCATGAATACTCTTTAGGACAGTGTCAGCTTGCGGTTCAGGGATCCGGAGAGTCGTGGAATTCAGCCAGACACACCTCATTCTAGAGTTTTACCTCCCTCTTCTCTATGCCTGTCATTTTTAAGCATAAATCTGGCAAAAGGGTGAAACACCTACATTTATACTGCCACACTGAGATTTCCCTCCTTCGTCTAGACATCTCTAGATGCAGGGCCAGACAGGTTCGGAAGAAGCGGGTAGAAGTCACGGAGGGAGTCTCAAAGCCTCCGCACTCCAGGGACAGCATAGGTGCAGGTGCACACAGGGAAAGAGGGCAAGACCTGGGAGATGCTCACAGTGCGATAAGAGCCAAGAGTCCCCAGATAATCGCTTTAAATTATTGGACATGCCATATCATTATGTCAAATTGCTTGGTTTTCCTTTTGTTTGGAAAAAGCATTGTTATCCACGCAAAGAGAATGCTGCTTTTCAACCCACATTTGATCTCTTTCCCAGTCATCCCTCCCCACCTCCCAGACCCCTGACGATAGACCAGGACTATTGCAAAGTGTAGGCTTCTGTTTCACACCCATGTCATCTTTTACAGGATCCCTGTCCAAGGCCCTAGGGCCATAGATCACCTGTTTATGTTCAGTGACTTCCTGAACTAGCTCTTTCGCTACAAGACCCTTGGAACTTTCTTCATGGAATGTAAACGCCTGGAGGGCTTCCTCTTACCTAACGGCTGTAAAGTCTGTAGCCTCATCCAAAACAGTTCCTCATGGACAAAGTAGCTTTAGGATCTCAAAACGACAGCATTAGCAAGAGCAATTCAACCCGCTTTGTTCAGGCATCTTTTGTATGGCTGGAAACCACATTTCCCTCATGGTCAAAACATGACTAACTCCCCTGGGAACTTGGCCAATACATCAGAACATGGCAACATTCCTTTGAATTTCTTGATGAGGGACACTTTGCAAAAGATTGGCACATCTCCAGTTCCAACAGGCCAGCTGTAGACAGGAAAACAGCCTCTGTAAAAGTTGCTCCTAGTGTTGCCTCTAACTGGTCAGAGACTGCAGGGATTCGTTCTCTTTGGCTTGCATCCCTTCACGTTGGGCTTGGCGGCTTATGTTGATTTGAAATTCCGGGCCAGCTTGCTGTTTCTCCAGCATCAGCACTTTCTTCTTCTCTTACTTCATCTTGCAAGACGGTGTGATGGTCCCCACCTTTAGCATTTTCCAAGGGAGCCGGTTAGCTCTTCGTGCCTTCCAGGGCAGGGTGGGCATGGGCAGCCCCTCCTTCCTGCCTTGTCTTGGAGGGGAGACTGTATCTTCCAGGAGGTGGATGGCCTTTTCCTAATTGTGGTTGCTCAAAAAGCCACACTCGTGTCTAAACTTATCTTTGCAAAAAGTAAATCCTATTCTGATAGAGCCTTTCTGGGAAATCTGAACTTGACTGATTTTCTTAAATGGTCCTTTTCTATGAATGGATCTTCAAAACTAAGAATTTCAATCAAGCATCTTCTGTAAAAACACTAATGTTTCAATGACCAAATTTTACTTGATGGTATAACCATAGGTTATAATTTCTTTTCTTTAACCTTGTAATTGGTGACACCCTTTATCTGTTACCTGTTGGATCTGGGTCAGCAAGATCTGTTGGGTGGGTTTCTCAAGCCCAGGAACACGGACTGAGCCCCTCATGACTTGCAACAACTTTCTTTAGAATAATTCGCGCATGAGTCCTTTTTAATATTCTTTGTGTATATTTTCAAGGGTTTGGTCAATTTGTCCTGCAGCAGCAGCATCCCTGATTAACAGCATGACGTTAAACCATTCACTGTATCCTGCCACAACCTCTCATCATTCATAAACACATGGTAGAAAGTGGGCCCCAATTACCTCTGAAACTCTTCTCTACGTGTCAGCTAACAAATGGAACTTTCTGGAAATTTTCTTCTTGTCACTTCCAATGCTGAATTGTGATATTTGGCCTTTAACAGGACATTCTTGATCATGGACAAAGCAAATTTTCCAGATAAACTCTCGCTCTTGGATCCTCTAAGCTCTTAAACTTCCTGAGATAATACTTTGCCTGGTTCTTACCCAGAGCAGCAAACATGGGACGTTTCGAAAAGAAAATTCATAACCTCATGTCCAATTATGTGTAACATGTAAACTGAAACTGGATTAAAATTTAATGTGCACCTGAATCTTATTCCAACTCTGGGACTGTTGCTTTCTTTGCTCTGTAGCCTATCTGGTGTTGAAGACATAGTTCAGAGGCTCAGACGTCAGGAAGGAAGCCCCCAGGTTGGGACCGAAAGCCTCTGTGCCTGGCAGACTTTTGTGCATCGATGCTTCAAGGTGGAATTCACCGTCACCTTGTATGCCCTTTCTAGGAGCCGACCTCCCAGGGTCGCCGTGAGCCCTGCCTGGCTGTGACATTCACTGAGATCACAGGCCAAAAAACAAAAAAGAATACATTTGTGCAGATTAGAGTTTTTGGGGGATGAGAACTCTGCCCACCATGAGCTCTGATTCCCTGTAAGGTTTCTTCTCGTGACATTTCATTTGCTAGGATTCCCTGAAACAAACAGCAGGAAAGAGCTTGCAAAACCTATCGCAGCTGGTCAGCCTTTTCTTTTTCTTTTTCATTGTCTTAAGGAACCGTATTCTCCCAGCCAGGAATTACTTTTTTCTGCTTCCAGATGTGTGTGCCATTGTAGACATGGGCATGGTGTAGGTATAACCAAAGTAAGCCAAATACAAACTGATTTCGATCACAGGAAAGTGGCTCTGAAGAGGAGCCCACGAATCGGCTTCCATTTATGCTTTGGTTGGCCAAATTAAGACTCCTCCTTACTATCCTCGCCTTTATCTTATAATACCGTGAGTCCCGACATTATGTAACTCCTTGTAGGAAAAAGAACCTTGGGCTACTTGTTGGTTTTCCTGGAGTCTGAGCTTGGCCTGAGTCATCCCGGCAGTGAGCGGGTTGTACTTTTGGTCCCTCGGCCTTCGCAACGGTCGCGTACGCTCTGTAATCTCTAAGCTCGTATCCTAGGCATTTTTCAGCTTGAGCATGCAGAAATTTTAGCCACATCTAACACATCTTTTTAACCTGGTTACATGCATTTTAAAATACGTCATAAGTCAAAGAATTAGCATTTTGAACGTAGGTCAAGATGTTGCTTTTTGCTAAGGCTCCTTATTTCTAGCCCATCCTGGGGCTTGGATTCTCTGCTGTAAACATAACAGGCACAGGGAGATTATTTGCCAGGCTCTCCTGGAGAGGTGTGAGCTTTGCTCACCCCACAGCTTCCATTGTTAGGGTGCAGGAGGGTCGTCCGCTTTGACTGCTCACCAAGTTCTTAGGAATAATCCTCATTTCGGTAATCTTTTGCTTTCACAGTTTACAATAGTCAATCACAGAACTCTGTGAATTACAACTGGCCTCGGCTGGGGTCTAGTTTCTTTAACAGGAGGCCGTATTTCCTTATCAGGGGAATGAGCTGACCTCTGTGTAAATTCAGCTCTTTTAGGACCGAAAGTTGTGTGATTTCAGCCTCCACATTGGGAGGGGAGCTGTGTGATCTCCCACTTCCAAGATTGCTCTTGTAGCACCCTTCTTTCTGTTATAAAAGATCGAACCATTCAGCAGCTGACTTGGCTCCCCCGAGAGCACCTGGGTGCACGTGACCAGCGATGTGCGTGAGTGGGAATGTCTCGGGGAGAAGAAGCGATGGCCTGGGGTTTCTCAGTGCGGGTCCCTCCGGCGCACAGGGTCCGCTGGGACTCCAGCAAGCGCCGCCCAGGCCACGGGGATTGCGTGCCTGCCCCAGAGCCTTCCCCAGATCTGTGGTGGTCCCTGCTTGTGCTGAAACGCTGCAGGCTTGTGGGGTGCCCGACAGTGGACAAAATGCTTCTGCACAGACTGTCGTCTTCGTGAGGAAAAGGGGGAAGAGGTGCTTAGACCCATTTCACGGATGTGAGAACTGAGGAACGGGTGGTTGGACTGCTCAGTGGAAATGCACAGACTATCAACTGCAAGGACAGAGCCCGACTCAGAAGCTTTCCCACGCTTCACGCTTGCTCCTCAAAATCAGGACAAAGCCTGACTCAGAAGCTTTCCCACGCTTCACGCTTGCTCCTCGGTCATTAATAACATCACCTTCAGGGCGCTGCTTTGTGATTGAGAATTAAGGGTTTACATTTAGTGATGACTACAGCCCTTCACATGCACACACACACACACAATTTATTTTTGTTTCCACACTTGGCCTCGTGCAGTTTCCCTGTGACCCGCACAGGGAGCTGAGCTGGGACCCACCGGCGGTGGCCACCTCCCCAGCACTGTGCCACATCCCTGGTGGAACGCTGACACGCCCACTCCTCACAATCAGCTAAACGCATTTTGAACTTGCTCCTCCAGGGACCCAGTTCTACCATTTATATTTTCACATCTGTAAATGGTTTATAAAGTTTGCACTATGGCATTTACAGAAAATATCCTACAAAATACAGCCTATTGGAGTTGTATTTTATCATAATGAGTAGGAGAAATT